GGGTTTTTTTGTGTGTGTCAAGTAGTGGAGGATAACAGGCTGATAAGCCCATATTCAGATCATGGCTTTTGGCAGCATATTTTCTTATGGATGCACCAGTGAAAATAGGTATGCATTGAATTTTTAGAAGAATACAAGCTTTTTGAGGAATTTGTGTGGTGTTTTTTAAGCAGATGAGGTAGAAGAGCCAAATGGTAAAGACTGACTAGCAGAAGAACCTCCTATTAGTGTGAAATGAATCACAATCATGATTATAATCATGATAAATGAGAAGACAGGCATTTTTTGGTCGAAGAAAATTTTAATAATATTTACTTGTCTCTCTTACAGGAAGCTGCTGTCCTAGGGAAGAAAGTAATGGTGTTGGATTACGTTGTTCCAACACCTCTGGGTACTTCATGGGGTAAGCTTCCATTAATTTGTTATTTATAGTATTTGAGTACCAATGATACATAGTGAATTATGTGTTATAGATTTGTATTGCTGGATATTGAAATGGAGTTTCTATCATTCTGGAGGATGGTTAATAAAGGACATTATCTTGCATGTTCCTCTAAAGAGTTGCTTCTCTTTTGTACATTGCTAATGTATCCCAATTATTTTGAAATCTTATTCTAAGTCTGTGCACTTTCTAATCAGAAAGTGGCCAGATTGTGTTTTTTGTTCATGTTCTTGTGTTTGCGGGTTTCCTTATTTTATTGTAGGTGGGTTTTTTGTTTATTTTTGTTTTTTAACTTTTCAGTTTGTTTAGCTCTATTTTGTGCATAGTTGATCTTGGCTTCCTTTAGAGCAGATGGATGTATGTTATGGAAGGATGAGGTGTGCACAGACATATAGACAGCTGCTGTCTGACTTTATTAGTGCTACAGTTGAGAGTTGAGAATATGACTAAGGAAGTCATCGCGAGTGAAACGGCTGACAAACAAAGTGCACAATAAGAGAAGTGTAAATATCCTGTTCATGCTGGTAATATTGGGTTTTTTCCTTCTTAGGACTTGGTGGCACTTGTGTAAATGTAGGTTGCATTCCTAAGAAACTAATGCACCAAGCAGCGCTTCTGGGGCAGGCACTCCAAGATTCAAGGAAATACGGCTGGCAGTATGAGGAACAAGGTTAGTAGGAATGCAGAGGACAGCAAGGCAGGGTGCTGCATGAGACTGAGCTGAAGATAATTTTTGTTTAGACACTAGTATAATAAATGCAGGTATCAGTAACTTTAAGTGAATCAGAAGGATTCCTCCCTCTTGAGTCATTGAAACCTTTTAGGATTGAAAGTTAATTGTTTTGTTCTCTATATTAACTGAATTAAAGAACATCTAGAATTGACTTTACAATTTCAGGTCATACTAACTTAGGTGAATATAGCAGCACAAGATTTTATTACATGTCCTTATTGCTGATGCTAATTATGGCTACTTAGCATGCCATATAATTAATAAGACTTAAGATTCTTTGAGGAGTTTGCTGCAATTTAATTTTCTTAACTGTGAAACCAATGGTTTGTTTCAGTTAAACACAACTGGGAGATCATGGTAGAAGCAATTCAAAACTACATAGGTTCTCTAAACTGGGGCTATCGAGTATCCCTAAGAGAGAAATCTGTTACATACATGAATTCCTATGGAGAATTTGTTGAACCACACAAAATAAAGGTATGTACTGTGTTTAAAACTTCTTATGTAGTGGGGCGGAGAGAGCTTAAAAATTCTAAGGCTACCTTTTGAAACCTAACAAGGAAAAGGCTTCATCCTGAAATTGTCACTTCAGCTTAAGTTAAAATGTTATCTCTAGGTGTCCCTGATTGAGCAGGAGGGTTGGACTAGATGATTTCTAGAGGTCCCTTCCAACCTCATCCATTTTGTGATTCTGTGATCTCAAACAAGTTATGATTCAGATTAATACTACATTTTAGTACTGTAACTGTTTGCAAACCTAGTAACTGTTATGTAGAAGAAACATGGGCATCTGGAAACTCAAGTCTTGTCAGTAGATTGCGGTGTAGTCTCGGCTGCTTGCTTCATGACTGAGGTCAACAGCCTAAGCCAGGAAAACCAGCAAAGAAAAGAAGCTGTAAAACCTTGGAAACTCGTAATACTGAAACGCAAGGACTATAGAAATAAACTCAGGTAAAGCACTTGCATAAGAGTGCTCGAGCTTATGCTGTATCAGCATAAGAATTCAATTACCTGTTTTGCAAGACAAAACATGTGCTGATGATCTTGCAGTAAGTGAAAGGTTAACTTAAGAGTGTTCATAGAATAAAACTTTGGTAGCTCAGTGAGTACAATTGTCTGCTTTTGGTGTTAAGTTTACGGAGACTGAGCTGCATGTGTTTCAAACCAAGGGCATGGCAGTAAGGAGGGATTATGTGCTACTTACCTTATCTTTCTTAATGTTGTAGCAACCAGGTGTACAGGTCATGCACTTAGTAGTGTCCTTGGTCTACAACTGAAGTGGAAAAAACATCAGCCACAGTTTGGACTAGGTGACTTCCTAAGGTCCCTTTCAACTTGAATTATCTTATGAATTGTAGGGGAGGAAGAATTCCTTTTATATGTATTGTCAAGTAATTCAAAGTGAAAATGAAGATCAAGTTTTGGGAGAGATGCATTGTCAATGCTCCTCAGTGATCTGCCTGGCTTCTCTAAATGCAGTAGGCTTTACTTCAAGCAGCCTGTTAATTCTTAACCACGCCAACAAGCCTTAAATTCTTAATTAAGATTACGCAGGTCTTCATTTGTCGTTAAGCCTATTTCTGATGATAAAGACTTTCTTAACGGTGTTTATATAATAGGCAACTAATCGGAAAGGACAAGTAACCTATCACACAGCAGAGACTTTTGTACTGGCCACAGGAGAAAGGCCTCGATATATGGGTATTCCTGGAGATAAGGAATACTGCATTACCAGGTAAGATCAAAAGGCATTATAGACTGAACGTCAAACAAATGGGTGTTGGAAGAACCTTGCAACTTGTCTTGTCTTTTCAGTGATGACCTCTTCTCCCTGCCTTACTGCCCTGGCAAAACTCTAGTTGTGGGTGCTTCCTACGTGGCCCTAGAGTGTGCAGGATTTCTTGCTGGGCTCGGGCTGGATGTCACGGTGATGGTGCGGTCCATCCTCCTTCGGGGATTTGACCAGGAAATGGCAGAAAGAGTGGGTGCCCACATGGAGACACACGGTGTAAAGTTCATCAGAAAGTTTGTACCTTCTAAGGCAAGTACTTTCGTTCCTTCTTTCTACACAACATAACCTTATTTGTTAGAGTATAGAATATTATAGAATGTAGAATTATGGAATATATTCTATAGAATAGAATATGCACGTTAGAATAGCTCATGTGGGATGCAAATGCTTTTTGAGGCTAAACTTTTTATATTGCCAAAAGATCAAATTGTTAGGTCAAGATTTAAAGTGCTGATACTAGTGGGCTGTGCTGTTTAAAACTAAGATTGTATTATGTATTCAGGTTGAAAAGCTGGAGGAAGGCATGCCTGGAAGATTGAAGGTGACAGCGAAGTCAACTGAGGGCTCAGACATTTTGGAAGGAGAATATAACACTGTAAGCATTCCTGGATTAGATCTGTGGGTATAGGCGGTGCTATGAAAATGTGTTGAAGTATTTTAAGAGATATTCAGGGGAAAAGTAAAGGGAAGCTTTGCTTTACAAATTGTTCATGTACCAAAAGTTTACTGCTAGAAAAATTGTGGAAAGTTTGAATATTCATTTTGCCAGTTTTGAATTGGAATTTAGTTCATGTGATGTTTCTGTTTCTCTTCTGATATTAATGTTGCAATTTTTTTTTATCATTTGAGACACTTATGGACATGATTTAACAGACACAATGTTGAAGGGCTTACGGTTGGACTCAATTATCTTGAAGGTGTCTTCCAACCATAATGATTCTGTGATCAAACAAGTTAAACATACCATTGTGTCTTTTATTCCTGAAAGCTTTTAGGGAAGTCATTTAAACCATATGCTTTTAAGTTTTTTCTAATAAAAAGCAAGAAGAGGGTGATCAGCCTAACACTTTCTTGCATAAAATTATTGCATGTAACTTTATTTTTTTAGGTTTTAATAGCCATTGGTCGTGATGCATGTACCAGAAATATTGGTTTAGAGACAATTGGCGTCAAAATCAATGAGAAGTGAGTATTGCTCATCTTCCAGACTACTTATTTGGATTATTCTGTACCTCTTTCTAACAGTGATACTGGTGTTTTTTAAATCTCTACTATTACAATGAGCAATTCAATAAACCTTTAGAGCCTTTGAAACCTTTGAGAAATGAGTGAGTGCAATTATTCATTAACTTCATTTCTTAAATACCTATTTCATTAGGAAACTATTCTGAATTGATGTTCACTTGTTGATCACTGCACTAAGAAATAGATCATGTAATATTAACTTCATTTGCTTAGAAACTACAGGTTAAAAATTCCCTTGAATCCAAGGCTTTATTCATTCCCTGCCTTAATTTTAGCTTGCTCTCTGGTTTTATGAGTGTGCAGATTTCAGCACTTACTGAAGGTTGTTCTGTATAAGTGAGCTCAAATTTGTGGTTCAACAAGCAGATCAGTAAATCTGTGAGATGACTTTTCAGTATTTTTAGTAGGCTCTTAAAGCTTCAAATGATGCCGTAGCCCTGGAACTCATGTGACTAGCAGTCTGGGGATCTAAAGAAGCAGCAAACTACTTGCTTACAGAGAGCAAGTTTCTCTTCTCTCAGGTGTCAGAGTGTTAAGACTAGTGCAAAGAGAGAGTCAGGATCACGTAGTTCAGGAGAGGGAAGAATCACGGCTAGACTGCAGTAGCTAACAAATAAATCAACCTTTTTAAACTTGTGTGTGATGCCAAGTAAGGGATCCAATTATGCTGAAAGTATAGTAAACATCCAAATATGCTTAACTTCCTTGTCATCAGACTTGCACTATTGCTGGGGGCGAAACTGGTCCACTGAATACAGAATTTCTAATTTGCAGGAGGCAAAGGTAAATGGCCTGAATAACTTCTTGAAGAGAAGCATAAGCACGCTTAATTAAAATACACTCTCTAGCTGAAAATAACTTATTTGTAGCAGAGCATCTCTCATTTGGTTTCTGCTGAGCTCTGAGGAAAGTGATGATACTGAAATCTTTCTTGTTTACTTAAAGGAATGGGAAAGTACCTGTAAATGATGAAGAACAAACCAATGTGCCTTATGTTTACGCTATTGGTGATATCTTGGAAGGAAAACTTGAACTTACTCCAGTTGCCATTCAAGCAGGAAAACTGCTAGCCCGAAGACTTTATGGTGGTGGCTCTACAAAGGTAAAGCTCTGGGCATACAATATTTTTTTGTTTCTTGCTTCAGAATAGTAGTAGCTCATAGGAGTCGATTTGTTGGTACAACTATAGACACAGAAAACAAAGCTGTGTGTGTTTTGTAAAGTGTTAGCTAATAAAACTTATCCTCTCTAAAATGTATTGTACAGAACTTGCACAATCTAAATATGGATTTGTATTTTTATTTTTAGTGTGACTATATCAATGTACCAACGACAGTGTTTACTCCTTTAGAGTACGGCTGCTGTGGATTAGCTGAAGAGAGAGCCATAGAACAATACGGAAAGCAAAACTTGGAGGTGAGAACACTGAAGGCTTGTTTAACTTACGGCTTTATTTATTCTAAAGCCTCTCTAGTAGACTCAGAATGTAGTGTTAAAACAAGATTAGCTGAACAGATCTTTATGGAAGTAGTGAAGTGTTGTCATTTGGCCGAAAGACTTTTCATCCCCTGGAAGTTTAGGAGCACTTTACTAGAATTTTTTTGTGTGGCTATTAGCATGCTGCCAAGAAGCATTTGAATTCAGGGAGCTAAACTCAGGCAGAAATGGTGTGTATCTCTTATTGTAATGAAGAAAAGTTTTTTTTTGTATGGCTATAACAGAATCTTGGGGTTATTTATTTCCCACTTGATTAAAACAGCTACAACTTTTAAGACATGGCATTTTAAGATTTTATGTGCAGCAAGAAGAGCTCTTCAGTAGGAACACAAGACTAATATCTAGATATTATGCATTTAAGCATTCTACAAAACAAATAATAGCAGAAGCTAAACAATGCCAGGTCTATATGAAGAACAAGAGGAGTTAAACATAGGGCATCTAAACAGCACTAATGAAGGTGTCTTGGAGTAATACAGAAGCTAGAAATTAGCATCAAAAGTAGAGGAGTTTCAGTCAATACCACTACAGCTGTAAGGAGAGAGAGGAAAAAAAAATCAGAAGGAAAGTCATTCCAAAGTGAGGCACAAATGACCAAGTGGGACCAAGTCTTTAAATTGAGAATACTTGTTCTGAGTCAAACTCAACTACTAAGTTTTGAAGGAATGCTTGGGGCAGGGGGAGAAAAATCACTGATCCTGTCTAGAATACATTGTGAAAGTGAAGCAGGTTAAATTTTAAACTCTCTGTTTGTAAAGATAAATTAAAATATGAGTATTATATTAGACTGAATACTTTATCAAATCCTAATGCACTTTCCTTGTCATCTTCCAGGTTTATCACAGTTTGTTTTGGCCGCTTGAATGGACAGTGCCGGGAAGAGACAACAATACTTGTTATGCAAAGATAATCTGCAACAAGAATGACAGTGTGAGTAAGAAATCAGATTTGCTCAGTATATTCTGAAAATAAAGATTTTAGACTAAGCAAAAGGCTAAAAAGATTCTGACCTGCCTGAAGTCAGTTCTATGTATTTTGTTAACATAATTAAATATTAAATATTTGCTTTCAGAGGTTTAAATAATTGAGGGAACACTAATTGTCTGAGCAAATACTAGCTTTTTATAATATCAAAATTTCATCTCGAGTTCCTCAAAACAGGCTTATGAAGAAAACCTCCAGATTTTTTTCTTCTAAGTAGGTGCTAAGTAGTTACCTTGTGAGTTTTGCCTTTTGTAATGTGCGGCTTTGTATGTTCAGCAGAAACTTTGAAAATGTTGCTGGTCCTAGAAACTCAGTGAGGTGAAACAGGAATTTCTAGCAGAAGGTGTTCTTGTTGCAAAAGTGTGTGCTGATGCTGTCCAGTAACTACCCCAGATGCTGTCTGGGAGGACAGATAGCACAGGATGATTTTTGGTGTCAAAATGACTTTTGGAGGGAAGGGATGACAGAATGGAAGAATATGGTGCTTAAACTAAGAGGAAGTGAGCCTATTCTCTGCAGCCCTCAGGAAAGGGTTAGGTGATGGAGGTGCTTTGGGGAGTGTGTGTGTGTGTGTGTTTGTTTTTTTTGGCATTCAACGGAAGAATTACTTTATATGGAAGGATCGTAGTGGAGGAATGGACTGGCTTTAGGTTTCTATGAAACTTAGTTTTGTTGTTGTGTTTTTTTTTTTTTTCCTTCCCCCAACGTAGGAGAGGAAAGGGGATGTACGGTAGATAGTCATACAGTCTTTAAATCCTTGTATTACAAGGAATTTGTATCCTATCTTGCAAAGTAACTGAGAAAATCTGTTTATTTTAGATCCCATCTTTTGAATTACAGTCCTTTTCCAGTGATTTTATAACTCATTTCTGTTACATACTTGTTTTGTCCTGATATTCAGGATTAAAATGAATGATAGAACTACCTTCTTTCAGAGTAGTGTTTTTGTGGACTGTGCTATTGACTGTATTGAATAGCATGTAATTTTAAGTGTCATGAGAGTTTAACAAATGCTCTTCAGGAATTGATATGCTTCTACTCTGAACTAACTCGTGTTCTGTTCTCATGTTTCTTAAAGAACCGTGTCATAGGTTTCCATGTTCTTGGACCTAATGCTGGTGAAGTTACCCAAGGTTTTGCTGCTGCAATAAAATGTGGTATCACAAAAGAATTACTCGATGAAACAATTGGCATCCATCCAACGTGTGCAGAGGTAAGGGAGGACAAACTTCATTTAATTCCAGCTTTGAAGGTGAATGCCTAGGTGCAAGTAAAGAATAGAAGGTTGTATTTCATAATGAGATTTATTCAACTTCTAGCTACAGGTTACTTGTATAAAATGTTTGTTATCTGTGCACTCCATCCTGTATTCCCTTGCAGCCATTCATAGAAACCTAGTGCTGTTGCTCTACAAGAAAAGGCTTAATAGATGCAGCCATGTAGATGACAGTACACAGCAACAGGAAATAAGTTGTTATTTTGATATCTTACAGGTATTCACTACACTGGATATTACAAAATCTTCAGGACAAGATATCAGTCAACGGGGCTGCTGAGGTTAAACCTGCTGTTTTATCTGTTTTCATATTGTACACACTTGGCTCTGTGGAAGCCCCAGTACATCCAACCACTTTTGGGCAAAATAAACATTTGCATCAGGACCACTGTCTGTACTGCAGCTAGGAGAGGTGCCTTTTTAAGGCTTCCTGAGTAAATAGTGTTGCAAATGGAAACAGTATAGCAGCAGGGAAAACTCGGACTGTAAATCCCAGCTTTGCTTGGAATCGCACTAAGGTGCTTTTGTGACGTTCCGGCTCGGAACCTTATTCTGAGGTGAGCTGCAACTGATGACTGCCATGCAAGGGTGGGAGATCTCGTCGTCCAGTCAGATGACTGAACTTCTGAAGGAAATGAAGTTGCACAAATTAAAGCTAACTTTTAGTCTCCAGTGTCTTGTCTAAATGCCCTGGACAGAGGGCAAATGTATAGCCGAATGATTCTTGCCTACAGTTTACACTTACTGATTTGTTTTGATGCGTTTTGTTTTACTTGATTGTATATCCAGGTGAGGCAAGGTGGCACAAATTGGATGCAGTGACAAGCAGTGCAGTTCATGCACTAGACTCCTGTCTCGACCATATACTTTGAAGTAATCTAAAGACCTTGTTGTTAACATTCAGAGTTGTTTGACCTCAGGTGACATGCCTTCAAGATACAAATTTCAGTGGTAGGAATCTTGTATGTTAGGCTGAAGTGTATGAGCACTAGAATGCAAGACCTTGTTAGGTTACTGTTGGGTATATTTAGTCCTAATACTCCGTCTGCTTTCAGCTCTGCAATGTAAGACATCAGAAGTGTAAGTCAGTACTATTATGTGGAGTACTCCTCCAGTCTGGAGGAGAAAGGTCCAAGAGCACTGTGTCCTACTCATAGCAGGTGCCTGTCCCTGATGGGTGTGCACTGTATGGAGTGTCTCTTTGAAGCATGTGTTGCTGCAGGGAGCAGTGGATAAGTGTGCTGTTATGCTTTGTGTAGTGTCTTGTATAGTTGGTAGTCTGAGACTTTATTCCACCCTTAGCGTTCTGTTCTGGGGGAATTATGCTCGAATTTGGCCCTTCACTTTTGTCCAAAGAGATGTTTTGAAAGACTATTCTGAACACTGTATGATAGTAAATGAACAGTTGTTAACTATTTAATCTTAATCTGTGATGTATCATGAAATTTAAGTTCAATAAACAAAACATACAACGGTTTATGGTGTCTGACCTCATGACTTGCATTATTGCTTACTTAAAGATACTGTGCTTTGGTTGTACTGTTTATCACATAGTACCACAACCTTTTTAGGCTTGAGCATGCTGGAATCTCTGCAATGGAGAGACAAGTTGTGTTGCCACCTCTGGCGGTTCGCTCAAAAAAATTGTAGCCCACTTCTGTTTGAGCAGGGACTTCAGTATGCTGAACTGAGGATAACCAGGAGTTCTGCGCACTTCAGAGTACTAAATGTGTATACTTGTTGCAGTGTTTGCCTGCAAGGTGGCTGAAAGATACTCAGTGGGACCTAGCCAGATCCTTAGCACCATATTTTGCTAAAGGTGTTCTGGTTTTTGACTCCTGGAGACTTTTTTGAGACTTGTTTTGAGCCTAGTAATACTGCGAAGTTTGTGTTTGGGGAGGGAGACACTTGCTGAACTAACAGGCTTGACCCATCTACTTGCCATCACTTTGCAGTACTGACCTCGAAAGTGGTCCTGCCAAAAACTTGCCTATCTGAAAACTTGTCTGTCCTAGGTCAGCTGTTCTGCTTTGAAATAAAGTAGGCACCAATAGTGATTAGTCTCTGAAGCTGAAGTGCTCAGTTTCATCTGAGTGGTTTTAAAACTCAAAATGGATTAGAATGTACTGGTGGTAACAGGTAATATATACTACAAGCTTCATACAAAATAGCTGGGATATAACTCACAAATCAAAAGTCCTTCAGAAGATTTTATGTCATGAGAAACTAGCTGGTAATGATGAAGTTTAACTTGTGTAGCCGTGTTAGGATGTAGAAAGAAGGAACGAATTGCTAAGTCAGTGGTAACTCCTCGAATTTAATGTAAGCACTAATCAAGTTCCATTTCATATTCAGATTTGATTTTCAGGTTTAAGTTCAAGTTAATTGAACAATAATTACTGCTTATGCATCTGTAACAATATACTAATTACACATGTTAATTTCATCTAACTTGCCCAGGCTATCAGCTCTTTTTAAATGATAACTTTACAAGCATTGAGCACTCCATACAGTTAATTGTTTAACTCTTTGCTTAAAATGTACAATAAGTAAATAGTAGCAAGAGCAATTTTTTTAAACAATAGTAATTTGTTCACAGGGAACTTCTTCCTTATGTTTCATCAGGCTGGCATATAAAGTAGAAGTTGCCATGATAACAAGATTTAATTGAAAGAAAGAATTTTAAGCTTTACAGCAGATTTTTGGACCAAAAAAAAGTAGGATCTCAGAAGAACTTGTAACTGTCAACTTGCATAGTGTCCCTCTGAATGTAGATTCTAAGGTTGTTTTCACAGCCTCTTTCAGTTTGGTCTGTGACTGAGTTAAGTAGAATACTTTGTGCTTCAATCCTTTCTGAACTTGAAGTTTTCTTTTTCTGGTCTCCAGATGTTATGTGACTCAATGTGCTAGCTGTCAGTTCTCCCAAGGACTAATATTAGGACTGTTTTGTTTCTTATTCGCAAAATATTTTTGTCTGGAGCTTTTCACTGTATCTTGGTAGCTTGTTATTTAAAACAACAACAACAAAAAGATATTCTTTGATATTCTCAGGGTAGTATGGTGGCCAAGTGTGGGGAAAGTTTCATGACATCTTTCTGAAACCTGAGAGTCCTTGTGCCTGGCGTGTGCCTGGTATCATTAGTGTGCATTGGCTAACACTTGTCTGCCTTCTGAAGGAGGCATTCCAGTGCAATACGGTGTAAGAGCTGAATTAGCTGAATTGTTAGCTTGACAAAGGAGCTGTAAGGGAATCGGGCTAAGGGAAAAGGCTGAATTAAATGATCCTACTTAGGCCAAGTAACTAAAGGTTAGGAGCACTAGCACCTTTTGTGTGTGTTTGGGCCATAAGAGAAAAGAGACTTGAAACTCCAGGAAGAACACTTTAATTCTGGCTGCATAAGTAGTTTAAAGTGACTTTTTTTTTTTTTTTCCCCCCCCATTTCTTGCATTTCCAAAGTCACTGATGGAAACTCAGCTAGTGCTTGTGTAACTTCTTTAGGAAGCTTCTAAGGAGATCTTCTATGGAGTTAACAAGTACCAGCTGCCTTGTCCTGAGACTCATTTGCTTGAAATCACTTAAGTTTATGAGTAGTACAGATACACAGGCGATGACACTTAAGGCAAAATGATGTGTTTACGTTTCTGTTGTCATAAATGATGTTCGCTGTATTCTGAAACTCAAAGATGATGGGTTCTCTGCATTGGTTTTGGTCCTTTCTTAGGAAAATGAGTCTCAAGATGATAATTAAAGGAATGTTCAGATTAAGTGGAGAGTTGCCGATTTTTCCTCATGAAGACCTTTTGCTTAGTTCTTCTGTGAAACAGGAATGAAAAACAAGTAAATAAACCCTTCAATTTGAGGGAGTATTCAGTAGGAAAACCTAAACACTTGTGTCTAAAGGATAGTTGACATAACAGATGGCATCTACAATAAAAACCTATTAAATATTGTTCACTTAATCTGTGCACTCTCTGATTATGTCAGCTATCAGAGGTGCTTATTCGATTATACTTTTGGTCTTAAAATTGCAACGTGCATCCACTTGTGCTCTGAGGCATTGCTTCAACACAAATCTTAGACTAAATAGAAAAAAAACTTATTTTGTCTGCAGTTCATGTAATATCAATGTGATTTTGTCCTTTGTGCTGGTGATGCTAGTGAAGAGGTGTTCTATATCCGTAAAGTACTCTAATAGTTAAATGTAATATTATAATACCAGAAAACATTATTAGGCTGCAGTTGAAGATATTTAACAGCTTGCTTACTGCTTCAGGTAAGAGCAGACTACTTTAGATGGCTCATAATTATGTCTTCCTGTATCTGAACTGTAGCTCTTAACAGTGAATAAAGAGCAAAACTGTGAGCTGGGTGGCTTAAAAAAAACAAAGGAGGGGGGAACCTTGTGAAATTCACCCTTTCCAGATCTAGGAGTGGTTATGATTATAGTTATTGTAAATATGGAAAACACTTAATCATCAAATTAGTAGATGGCTTTCCACATAGCGTTTGGCATGAATTTTAATTATATTTTGAGCACTGTAATTTGTCTTAAGTAACACAAGAGCAGCCAGTCAGCTTGCACAAGAATTACGGATGCAAGTTGGAGTCAAAAGGGGAGCAAATTTTTATTTTTAAAATGTTTAAAATGCTAGAATAAGACATGAAAAGTATTTGCTGTCTAGTTCTCTTATATAAAGCTTCAGATTCTCTCTATTCCTCTTGAAGTGGCTTTTGGCAAAGTCTTGACCACAACTCCAAGTCTCAACGCAACTCAAGATACTGGGTTTTTTCAACCCAGGACTGGAATTCCCGCAGGAGAGGAATACTTCAATCACACATTTGTCAAGTCTCCTAAAAATAATGACAGGAAAAGAATTCCTGGGTGTGGCATGAGATAGGAAGATGGGAACAACAGAAGAAGGAAAGGTTAAGTGTAATTAAACAACCATTGCACCTCAAGAAGCAAACCACTCTTTTTGGATGCTTGCAGCACTGTATCATCTTTCTCAAGACCATCGTTCAAGTAAGTTGAGGCAGGTTAAGAACTCCTGAAATGCCCCTTTTCTAATTGACAGTGCACAGTGAATACTGAGAATGTGATTAAACAGCTTCGTTAAGGTGCATGAGTTCACAATATTGAGTTGGTTGGTTTCCAGAACTGCCTCTTTAAAAGATATATAAAATGAATAATCAAAAAAGCCACCAATTTAAAAATGCTCTCAGTGAAGAAATCGTTACCAAAACCAGAACTGCGTGTGCCTCTAGCAGATATATCTGGATAGGGAAATAAAGAGTAACTGTCATATCCAGAAATCAAAGTTGAACAGAGAATTGGTTTTTTTGAGCTGTGGGATTTTAGCTAGCTTTTGATTAAATAGCTTCTAACTCTTATGTGATGTTTACCCTTCAAATATCATAATAATGAAAATCTAAAAAGCTTAGCACGGATTTATTTGTGGGGTGGGGAAGTAAGATGCCTTGAAGAGAACTTTTGGAAGTTTTCATTTATAATAAGCCAAGTTTGTAATCAACTTAGCAGCTTTGCAACTTCATCCACTAAAAGGACAAAAGTATCACTTATATTGTTAATTTGGTTTTGATCTTAGTAGCTAAACTGTAAGTTGCAGGGTGTTTTTTTAAGCTTCTTACAGAGTTCTTCATTTGGCATAAAATTGTAAGTTAAGATTTAATGAAGACTTCTGTTTTGGAATAAAATAAGGATAAAGGGTTTTGGCTGTGAGTGATCTGACTTGTCTGGTTCTCTTGTTCTGGGTGGATGCCTGGAACCTCTGGGTACTTGTCAGTTGTGCC